CTCTCTCTCTCTCTCTCTCTCTCTCTCTCTCTCTCTCTCTCTCTCTCACACACACACACACACACACACACACTCTACTCACTCACTCACTCACTCACTCACTCCAACAAAAACAAAACAGAAGGAGAAAGGAAGGGGAGCGGTGTATTTGTTGGGAGACACTGGCTGATTGTAGCTGCAGTTGCTGTGAAGGGAAGACAGTCAAGCTCAGTGTCCTTCAGGCCTGGCGCTGTCTGTGCTGCACTCTCATGGTCTTTGAGATAGCTGCAAGTGGCTCTCTATGTGTATTTTAACATGTTAATGATAATTTTAACTGCTCATATATTACTCCTTAGATATTCTTTTCAGTAACCTTAGGTATATTATCACGTTATATAAGTCATTTTAAAATAAGAATTCTAAAACAACACCACAAAGAATTCTAACAACTCAGTCTTTATTTGGTTATATATTACAAACATGATTGAAACAAGGTAAATGGACAAAGTCAAATAAGTATTTCTCGTGGGACATCTGTGACCCTGAGAATAGTGCCATTTGTTAGTTTTGTTGTTGTTGTTGTTGTTGTAATTGTTCTGTGGTCAGCCCCCTGCACATTACTGTGTGAAGATGCACAAAAATATAAACTTGCTGTTACAGCTCTTCTTACTTTTAAGTCCTTCAGTTTGCTTAATCTTTGTAATTTTAAGTTGTGTTTCATCATGCAATTTTTTTCCATCTTTCCTTTTGGTTTTGGTTTAAATTATCCTTGCTCATGTTGTCCTAAAAAAAAAATAAAAATAAATTACAACCAGCAAGTTTTTGTGTTTGAATTCCTGAAAGTGTTTGGATGGAATTGCAGTAATGTGTTATGGCTTGGGCCCCTCGCAGGAGTGTATCTCGCAGTCAGCAGTGAAAACAAAGTTTGAACAGCACACTATCAGAGCTAAACAGATACTAGACACTGTGAAAAACATATTGGACTCAGTAAACGTGGCAGCAGCAGAGAAGAGGTAGGCATCCCCATTATTATGGCCCAAATGTTACTTTCATTGTGTTAGATCTTTAGGCCTGAGGTTTGAAATGGTACGAAAAATACTTTGGCACTAAGACCAGTTTTGTGACTTTACTGGTGCCTGCTTATGTATTTTTAAATGAATATTTGAAGATGATTTATTAATTTTATGACCTTCCCCGGGTGACTGTGTATGAATTGTGACTTTAAAATGTTGAGTAGCGTCATGGGAGAGGAGGACCGATCTTCAAGCAGAATCGTAAGAAGATTTCCAAACCAGGTGATGCTGTTTACAGTCAATTCACAGCCCTTCTCCTGTAACCTTGAATAGTATGCGAAGGTACTGAAGCAGACAGCTTTCCCAGATGTGGCAAACACCTGTGATCCCAGCTCTGGTGAGGCTGAGGTGGGAAGAGCTTGGGTTAAGGCCTTCTTAAAATATGAAACTTGACACATTTTGGAACAAATTGCAAAATGTTGTTAGTTGTGACAAATATGTTATCAGGCCTCATGCCTTCGCAAGCTTAACCCAGTTCAGGGAAGCATAGAAAGTACCAAAGATTAAGTCAAGATAGGGTGAAATCGAAGAATGTTTTTGAGCTAGTCTAGTCTAAAACCCATGGCACTCCACATGCCTCAGCCTCCCAAACACAGGGATTAGAAGCTTCACCTGTTAAGCCTTGATAAAACTGAAGGTTGCTTGGTTGTTTATAAGTCCTCTGTCACTGGCACTTAAAATTGAAGTTTTGAAATTACATATTTTCACTCAGAACACTTCCCAGCCCGTAAGGCATCTCTGCCTGTCCTTGACTGTGCAGCTTATTCAGCAACACGTGTAAATGATGGCAGCTGAGGCTGTGCCCTGCGTCTGTCTCAGCCCCGGCAGCGTCTCTCTGCACAGCTTGCATGCTGAGTGTGTTGCTGCTGAAGCCCATTCGAGCTTGACTCCTCCCTGATGCACACCAAATAACAAATATAGTCTAATTGTCTGACTTCCATCTTTTAAAACATAGAATGTTGAACTAAACATGACAAAAGATATGATTTGAGAACAATGTCCTGGAAACTAATGCTGCTGGTTTTCTTAAAAAGCTCTCAAGTCCTAGTTTTCCTGTCATCTGCGGTCCACAGACCTTCATAGGGAGTCAGATAGTGGATATTTGGAGCTTTGTGGGCCATGCCATCTCTTGGGTGCCTGCTTATTCATAGAGTGCATACAGGAGGAGCTTGTGGCTTCCCACTGTACTGTCTGCTTCACTTGTTTATTAACTGAATTGCTGTCATGGAGACTTAGAATCCTTACTGTTTTTGTGGGATGCAGGTAACTCGGGAGAGTCAAGGTCATTTATATTAAGCCATCGACATTGAAGGACTTGCCAGGTGAAATGCAACTGTAGTCCTTTGAGACTTTGAACACAAGATTTCTTTTTTCTTGTGTCATGTTAAAGAATGGTTCCAGATATAAATGAATGACCTTGCTTAATTAATTGCTTTAGACTTTAACATGGCCCACATATTGATCACTCTTCCAAATGAAATAGGGTTTATTCAATGGAAGAGAGGGAAGACCAAATTGATAGACTGGACTTCATCCGAAACCAGATGAACCTCCTAACACTAGATGTTAAGAAGAAAATCAAGGAGGTCACAGAGGAGGTGGCCAACAAGGTAACATCGTCTCTGGTCATGGTGTCTGGAAGCAGCAGTGTGTTAGCACTAAATGCATCTGTCTCTCACTTTAAAGGAATATGTCCCTTGATTTGATATTCTCAGCAGTTGCAGTTGCTAATCTTTTTTATTTTATCTTGTTTGTTTATTTGAGGGGATGTCTTGTTTTGCAGCCCTGGCTGGCTGTGAATGACTTTAATTTTTAACACTGAGTTTTTTAATGTTTTCAGGTTTCTTGTGCAATGACAGATGAAATTTGTCGACTGTCTGTTTTGGTTGATGAGTTTTGTTCTGAATTTCATCCTACCCCCAGTGTACTGAAAGTGTATAAGAGTGTAAGTTCAAGTTGTTGGCCATTCGTTCTGAGGCTGCTTTCTTGCTCTTTGCTTTATTCGTGTGTTTAGTGGCTCTTTTACTGAATTCTTGGCAGTTCCTATACAGAGAATGACAGCTCCCAAGCTCTGGTAGTAAATACAAACTATCTCACAGGTAAAATTTCAGAGGGACTGGGGATGGAGCTCGGTGGTCAAGCATGTGTTTAGCAACTGTGAAGTTCTAGGTTCGATTGCCAACATCCACCCAAAAGATCATTTCAACAGTCTTTATAAAAGCTACCTACTTTATATGGAAAAAATAATTTGGACATTTACAATTACTATTGATAGGAATTAAATAAGCACATAGAAGATGGTATGGGAAGAAACTTGGCTGATCGGTGCACCAATGAAGTCAATGCCTCGATGCTTCAATCTCAACAAGAAATTATTGGTGATGTTCATGTCTCCAGAGTTGTGTATAACCTCCCTCCTCCATCCTTCCTCCTCTCCCTTCCTCCCACACTCCCTCACTCCCCTCTCTCCACCCCCACTTCTTTCATAAAGGGCTGTTTGCATTTGGGTACATTGCCTGGAAGGTAAAACACATACTCCTGTTTGTTAAAATAAATATAATCTTTTTTCCAGAAAACTTGAAGCCATTACTTCCAGCTGGTATACAGAGTAAGCTTCATACACTAATACCTTGCAAAAAATTTGATCTCAGCTATGATCTCAATTGCCACAAGTTGTGTTCAGATTTTCAAGAGGACATTGTGTTTCGATTTTCCCTGGGCTGGTCTTCCCTTGTGCATCGGTTCCTGGGCTCCACAAATGCACAGAGGGTGCTGCTTGGGCTCTCAGAGCCTGTCTTTCAGGTATGTGTCTTGATCGCCCCAGTTGGCACTCTTAACGCTGTGCATGCAGATTCACCTATAAGCTGGCTTACTCGAATCTGCTTCCTTAGGAGCTCGTGTCTGTCTCATCCAGCCTCTTCTGAGTTGGAGTTTGTTTGCCCATTAATACTATGAATGCCATGTTTGCAGCTTCTCCATTCACTTATTTTTGTATCTGTACGTTTGCCTGTGTGTACAATGCATGTTGATGTGCATGTATGTGCCACATGTGAAGGTCAGAGGACAATATGTAGGAGTCGGTTCTGTGCTTCTACCATTTGGCTTCTGGGATTGAACTCAGATCCTCAGACTTTACAGGAAGTATTTTTAAAATTTGGTTCTAGACTTTAAATAAATTAGAATAAGCTTTGATTTTTGTTAATTTTAGAATTTCGAGGAAGTTTATGGAGTAAAAACTATCCCAGAGGCTAGAGAGATAGGTCAAGAGTTAAAAGCACTCTTGCTCTTGCAGAAGGCCTGAGTATCTTCTCAGCACCCACCTGTAACTCCAGCTCCAGGGGATTTGACAGCCTCTTCTGGCCTCTGCACACTGTCATGCATTCACACAAACACATACATGTGCATATAAATAGTAAACAGAAAAATAAATTAAAAACTTCACCATAGTCTACATTTAAAGCATTTCTGTTGGGGCTGGAGAAGTGGCTCAGTGACTAAGAATGTACACTGTTTCTGCAGGGCCTGAGTTTGGTTCCCAGCACCCACCCTGGGTAGTTCAGAACTGCTGTAACTCCATCTCCAGGGATCTGACACCCTCTGGCCATTATAGGCTTATGTACACATACCCCCTCCATAAACACATAATTAAAATTAAAGTTTTTTTTAAATAAACAACAACAACAACAACAAAAACCCAGAACACTTTTGTTCTTCTCCAGAGATTCCCTCCTGCCCATTTATGACCGGTCATCATTCATGTCTGTGGGGTTAGCACTAGTCAGGTTGGTCAGTTTGGATTTGCCATCTACACATTCCCTAGTGTCTCAGGTGCCTAGGCAGAGCTCAAGTAGGATGTTTTCAAGGTACAGCCTCAAAGTGTCAGTGCTGTAGCACTCCAGGTGGCAGAGTAATAGGTGGAACACATTTTATTTCTCCACCGTCCATTGGCCCATAGTGTGGTGGCTGTCTTTGCAAGAAAGTCATTGCCAACGAAGCCTGCAGAAGTGATTGTGTAGCATTCCAGGGAGTCTTTTCATTAGTGTCAGTAGAGGACAGTGAGAGACTACTATTTTAGACTTAAGTGGGCTCAACTAAGCAAATTTTAAGATAATGTTTATATACACCTTCTCTTTTATATTCATTTAAAGGTGCTTGGGCCTCTTCCTTGACTCTCCTAATACTCCACTATTCACTCTGTTCTCATTTTCTACCTCTCTCATTAGTCGCCTTTGTTCCTAAACAATTCTGCTTCTGCTTGCATATCCCCAGTATATATGTGATACATGTACCTATCATGTCCAGGACCTGCAAGTGAGAAAAGCCATCCAGTACTTGTCTTTCTCATATGATTTATTCATGTAATATGGTTCTCTTTAGTTTTATCATTTTCCTGCAAATGACATAACGTAGAATTCTATTGCATACATAAACTATATTTTCTCTTTATGTTTGCGGAGTATATGCTTTTTTGAAAACTTTAAATATTCTTCAGACAGAACATCTCATCTTCAATAAAGGCTTTCATGTAACCTACACATGTGAAATCTTCTTTACCTTCCAAGTTCTGGGATATAGATGTGTGTCACCGTGCCCTACTATTTTAGGTATTTAGACAAGGTCTTACTTTGTAGCCCAGACTGGCCTCAGATGTAATGATCTTCCTATCTCAGCCTCCTGAGCGTTGGGATTACAGGTGAGCATCACTCCTGGCATTTATGTTTTATGTTTCTTAGGATTTTCCAAATTTTTTTCCAAGCTGGTCACATTTTACCCTGCCCCTAAGCACTGTGAAGGCTTAATTTTCTAGGTGTAATTTGTACGCTTGTTTTATTGTCTATCTTATCCTGGTGAGCGTGAACTGATATATCTCATCATGGGGTTGACTTACACTTCCTTAATGACTGATTTGAGCACCTTTTCACGTGCTTATTAAATAAACCCTTTGCCCTTGTGTTCTTTTGGGGGGATGGGGGTCTTTTAGTCCTGGCTGTCCTGTAACTTACTCTGGCAACCAGGCCGGCCTCGAACCCAGAAATCCACCTGCCTCTGCCTTCTAGGTGCTGGGATTAAAGATGTGCACCACCAGTGCCCAGGTGTGTTCCTCTTGAGCAATATTTTTATTCACATTCTGATTGTAATTGTTGGCTACTACTAAGTTTAGGGATTCTATCATCTGCATGTAAATTTACAGTTTACTTTACAGATAGGTGATGTCCAAATATATTTTTCAGTGTGGCTTATTCTTTAATCTTTGATGTGTTTTGCCTCCCGAGTGCTGGGATTAAAGGTGTGCATCACCACTGCCCAGCTGTTTGTTTTAATTCATAAATGAGCTAGGACATTGCATGTGCTAAGCACACAAGTCTTAGTACTATGCTACATCTTCAACTCTTAAAAAAAGTCTTAGCTGGGCGGTTGGTGGCCCGTTCCTGTAATCCCCGCACTTGGGAGGCAGAAGCAGGCGAATCTCTGAGTTCGAGGCCAGCCTGGTCTATAAGAGCTAGTTCCAGGACAGGCTCCAAAGCTAGAGAGAAACCCTGTCTTGAAAAACAAAAAACAAAACAAAAGTTTGATTCTTGGGAGATAGAATTAGCTGTAGAGATGGCCCAATGGTGAAGAGTGCAAACTGCTTTTCAGAGTTCTCAGTACCCACATTTAGGCAGCTCACAATTGCCTGTAACATCCAGGGGATCCAACACCTCTATTCTTGGGGTATACTGCATACACACACATAATTAAAAATAAGAAAAGTTACTCTTGGAAAACCAGTTTTAATTCTTACTGATTTACTATTAAATTTATTGTTCGTTATATCATTAGTTCCCATAGAAAATAATTCCTGTGAAGGTACATGTTGCCATTTCAGCAGTCTGTTAGCTGAGGCTGGAAGATTCTGAGTTTGAGTTTCAGGCTAGCCTTGGCAACCGTGTCAGACACTGTCACAACCCTCCCCACAGCCAACAAGAAAAAGAACTTCTAGTGTATTTTTATTTTCTTTGTGTAGTTGCATTCTACTCATTATTTGGAACCTTCCCCTCCTCCCATAAATTGCTTTACTTTTTTTTTGTTGTTGTTAAACAAACAGCTTTATAAATGTAACTCTTTTTTTTGTTTGTTTTTTTTCCTAAATTCTCCAGCTCCCTAGATCTTTGGCTTCAACTCCCACTGCTTCTCCTAACCCAGCAACCCCAGATGGTGCAGCTCAGGAAGAGCTCATGATCACCTTGATCACAGGATTGGCATCTCTCACATCTAGAACCTCAATGGGCATCTTAGTTGTTGGGGGAGTGGTAAGAAACAGTTCTTCAATAAAGTTATGATCATATTCTCAGGAACTATCAAGCATCTGAAAATTTGTAAATTGTAAATGTGACTAAGGAGCTGGGTAGTGGTGATGCATACCTTGAATCCCAGCACTTCGGTGGCAGAGGCAGGTGAATCTCTGTGAATTCAAGGCCAGCCTGGTCTACAGAGCTAGTTCCAGGACAGCCACAGCTACACAGAGAAACTCTGTCTCAAAAACAACAAAAAAGTAATGACTAAGATTTTACAGATGTAACTTATCTTTAAAAACACATGCACACATGCACCCCTACCTACCTACACCGTTACCTGTAAGTTTAGGATGAAAGCTGTTGAGTTGGTTTCTGTTTGCTGTTTGTTTGTTTTCCTTTGGGCAGTGCCCCCAGAGCCTTGCACATGCCAAATAGGCACCATATCACTGAATTACATTCCTGACCGTATCTGGCTCTTAATAAAATGACCTATTTTCTCACTACAGCACACAAATAAGTGATTTATTTATATATTGACATAACAAGAAAGAACCAAGTTGGTAGAAAACTTGCCTTTCTTTTGTGGGGGCTTGTTTAATCTTTGACAACAAACAAGATGTCCTGCGGGACTGTCTCTGAATACCAATGGGAGCTGTCTTAAGTGTTAAAGATTATTAGTAAGTTGTGTTTAGTTTTTTATTCATTACCAGCATGTATGTGCTGTTATAATGTTTGAAACATTCAACCTAAAATATAATTTTCTTTCTTCCTTTTTTTTGAGATAATATCAAGTTAGTACTGGAGAGATGGTTAAGATGTGCTGCTCTTCAGAGGACCCCTGCTTGGTTCTCAGCACCCGCATGGCAGCTCAGCCATTTGTAATTGTAGTCCTGGGGGTTCTGATGCCATCTACTGGCCTCTACAGGCACTACACACACATCTGGCCTACATTCATGTGGGCAGACAGAACACTCATACATAAGAAAAATTAAAGAAAACTTTACAAGGGAGGGAGCTTAATTCAGCCCTTCAGTTGTGGCAGGCTGTGAAACTCCATCCTAGTGTTTATATTTTTTCTATCAGATTTCTTTATGAGGAAGGTATATACATTTTTAGAAGATGATTCCTGTCTCCTTCTAATATGTTTATTTCTCACAGTGAGCTGTGACTTTGTCTTGCAGATTTGGAAAACAGTGGGCTGGAAACTCATCTCTGTTGCCTTAAGTACGTATGGAGCTTTGTATCTTTATGAAAGGCTGACCTGGACTACCCGCGCAAAAGAGAGAGCATTTAAGCAGCAGTTTGTGAACTATGCAACCGAAAAGCTGCAGATGATTGTGAGCTTCACAAGTGCAAACTGCAGCCACCAAGTCCAGCAGTAAGTAGGGAGGTGCAGCCTGCAGAGGATCTCTGCAGTTGGTGAGCACATGTGTAGTCACATCCACGATAGCAAGAGCTCCCCCTGCTTCCCCTTGCCCCTGCTTCCCCTCTCAGCACTCCGCTCCTCGTTCCCTGGTAGCTTAGGGTTGAACACTTGGAAGTTGGCGTATAGGAATGCTTTAGAAGGAAGGAGAGCCTTCTTTAATAAATAGTTATTTAGCAAACCTTTTCTAAGTTATGATCCTATTCAAATGCTTGTGGTTCCTTCATTATGAAGATTGAATTTTTAGCATTCATTAAATGGGCTCAATTAAGTGGACAGACTTCTTGTTTTTGCTTGTTTGTTTTTTTTGTTTTGTTTTGTTAAGACAGGGTCTCATTGTAGCCCAGGCTGGCCTCTAACTCATGGCCATCCTCCTGCCTCAATCTCCTGAGTCCTCTTTGCCCTGGTGATTTTGTGATGACTAGACCGTGCTTTTTACTACCATAGTCCAAACTTCAAGTCTGTAACAGCAGTGGTTTTAGATCTCAACAGGATTTTCTTAGAGGTCTAGGTCTACCCACTTTCTCTTTTTTTTTTCTTTCTTCCTTCCTTCCTTCCTTCCTTCCTTCCTTCCTTTCTTTTTTTTTAAAGTTGTTACTGAGTAAAATCTCACTCATAGTATAGCTCTGGCTGATCTTGGACTCACTCTGTAGACCAGGCTTGCTTTGAACTCACAGAGATCTTCCTGCCTCTGCTTCCTGAGTGTTGGGATTAAAGGAAAAGGCTACCATACTTGCCATTGTTTTTTAGATTTATTTTATGGGTTTGAATGTTACACCTGCATATATGTCTATTTACTGCTCTAGAGGCAGTAGGACCTGGGAGATGGAGGCAATAAAGGAAGCAAGCTGAAGTCTCATGCAGTAGCCACGTTTATTCAGAGCCTCAGACGGTTTATACTCTGAAGGTTAAGCAGAGTCACACAGGTAAAGCGTACAATCACAAGGACAAGCCTCATACAGCAGAAATATGTCTTTCCATAGGGGCATAAAAGCAAATAGCAATAGCCAGTTGTAATGAATAATCTGAAATAAACTCTCTGCTACATCAGGGAGGGGCACAAAACACATTCCAAGAACCATGTTTTTGAAGAAACTGTGGTCACAAGACTCTTGTACTGTTTTCTGAGTTTTCTCACAAGCACTCAGAATTCTCAACACAATTTTATTCTTGGGCCATGGTCCACCATATGTGTCTGCACCACATGTGTGCCTAGTGTTCTTGGAGATGAGAAGAGAGCACCAGATCCCCAGGAACTGAAGTTACAGATAGGTGTGAGCCATCATATGAGTGCCAGGAATCAAGCCCAGGTCCTCTTCAGGAGAACCAACTATTCTTAACCACAATCCCCCAGTTTCTGCTTTTACAACAATTAAATATTAGAAGAAGTGTATTGAATTCCCTTTAAACCAGGTGCAGTGTTGTATATTTAAATGAGTTTGAGACAGTTTAGTCCCAGAGGAGCTCAACCTAAAGAGGTAACATGCAGGAAAGGACAAAGCAAAGTGACGTCTTCCTTCCTGTAAGGGAAGCCTGAAAGAGAACAACCCTTAATAAGGGTTCCTGGAAGCAAGCAGACATGAGGTTTACACATGCAGAATAGGTAGACTGGGCGAAAGGTAATGTGTTCGAGAACATGCAGAGGGCTGGAGAGATGGCTCAGAGGTTAAGAGCACTGGCTGTGCTTCTAGAGGTCTTGAGTTCAATTCCCAGTAAACATATGGTGACTCCCAACCATCTATAGTGGGATCCGATGCCCTCCTCTGGCATGTTGGTATACATGCAGTTGGAACACCGTATACATAATAAATATATAAATCTTTCAGAAAAAAAACCTTGAAGAAAGAAATTCCTGTGTGGGCAGTGTGTTTTAGAAGGGCGTGTGGTCTCCAGGACAGGACTGTAAGCATGTGGAGACTAGATCTGGGTAATTGGGAGCCCTGGGAGTGCTGTTACCAGCCATTGAGCTCCTAAACCAGTTACTTTGCATGGTGTTTGGAATGATTTAGACAAGAGGCAGGATTTACAGAAATTAACAGATAATTAACTGTTTTGAGACACAGGTCAAAACAAGTAGAGTTGTGGTTCAGAGACTTGTTCATGCAGTGTGCACTAAATACTTTTCGAGCTCTTGTTTTGTAATTTCATTTGTGTAATGGGAATTATTTTCTCTGATGAAGATACTTGGACTTGAGTGAAGGTCTTACAAATAAATGGTATAACTCCATACCTCCCTTTCTAAAAAAAAAATTCACCCAACATAATTGTAGGAATTATGGGAAATGAAAAGTTGAAAATTAATTTGGCCCTCCCTTTACATTATAATGGAGGCAACCACAAATAATTAGTTATGACATACTAGACAAATGTCAGTATTTAGTAAAACAATGAAAAATGCTTCAGTGTCATAGTGGGTATCTGTAGAATGAAGAAAATGGCTATTTAAATAGGCCAGAAGATAGGTGATAGTATATAAGACAGTCGCAGAGAGAAATGTGTTAGATAATTATGTCTGAGGTGCACACTGAGGAGACATTCCTGGGTAAAATGCAGACACTGCTCTCAGAGCACTGTCCTGAGCACTCAGACTGGATGTGACCTTGGCTTCTGGTAATCCCACCTATCTCAGTGATTTATCTTACAAAATGGTGTGGGAGAATTGTCTGTATTCTGTCAATCATGTTTTAAATAAATGCTGATTGGCCAGGCAGGAGGTGTAGGTGGGAAAACCAGACAGGAAGTGGAAATGGTGCAAGGGGAGCAGGAGAATTCTGGGGAGGAGGAAGTTGATTACTCGCACTCCTGCCCAGATCACCGAAGCAGCAGGATGTGAGTTACCCCACTGAAAAAGGTACTGAGCCATATGGCTAACATAGATTAGAAAAATGGGTTAATCAAGATGTGAGAGTTAGCCAGTAAGAAGCCTGACCTAATGGGCCAATCAGCTTTATAACTAATAGAGATCTTTGTGTGATTTTTCTCTGGGACTAAATAGCTAGGGGGCCGGGCAGGACAGAAAACCCCAACAAAAAAGCAGGCCCCTTCATGTTACAACAAAAGAATGCCATCCCCCACCCTTAACAGTTTTTGTTTTTATTGAGCAGATGGGAAGAGTTAAGTCTGTTAGGCTTCTGAGGAAATCTCCATCTCCTATGTTGGTATTTCCTGGGTGTGTGTATTCTGTTATTTTCGTAAGAATTTCCTATGTGCGTACTGTATTCAAATCATTTTCACCCTCCTTCATCTTCTCCAACTCCTCCCATGTCCCCCAAGTTCATGAAATCTTAGTTATTGTTTGTACACACACCCTCCTGAATCCTTTCAGTATTGTTCATACGCATGTATTTAGGGCTGACTACATGATTATCCCTCTCCCGGCAGCCATTAGTTGTCTGTAGATTTTCATTTAGGGGTGAGGCCCTCTTTTCCCCCATCTTGCATCGGCATGCCATCTAGTTACTGTCACTAAGCGTGTCATGTTTGGGTGACCCAGTTGTTGAAATTTCATGGATGTAGCTTCATGTCACATCTTGTATCAGATGTCCTGGTTCTCTGGTTCTTAGAAACCTTCTGCCTCCTTTTCAGCAGTGCTCCTTGGGCCTTAGGTTTGGAGGTTGCATTCTAGATGTGTCATTCAGGGCAGGCACCACCCAGCAATCTATTGTTATCTGAAATAGTAATAGTAATAATAACCATCTCCATCTGCTATAGAAAGACACTTCCTTGAGGGTCTGAGAGCAACAGTTACTTGCCTGTGGATGCAAGGATAAGTTTTAAGAATGGAATTAGAAATTATACTGATTTAGGGAAATGGTGTCTCCTCTAGTCTTCTAAGGTCCTTGACCTCACTAGCCATCAGTAGTTAGCTAGGTTTACAGTAGACATGAATTTCCTTCCATTGAGCGGGCCTTCAATCCAATTAATTAGACAGCCGATGATCACCCCCAAGATATAACCGCATTGGAGATATCTTGGTTAGTGGGTCAATGTTGTGGCCTTTAGGCTCTATGGCTTGGCAGGACTGTTGATCGCTTTTCTCCCTAGGCAGCGTGCATGCATAGCTCCTTTGAATGGCATTAGAATTTGTGCTCCTTGCATGCCAATTCTAATCAGTTCAGCCCAGTCTGTGTCCAGCGTGTGGTGTCTTCAGCAGTAAGGTCTTCCCTTCAAGTTCTGGGGTGCAACCAAGGACAACGGCAGTAGCTTGTGTTTGGGAAATCTTTTGAATTTCCCCTGCCTAGCAACACAAGGGGAGGTTTTTTTGAGTTGCACTGGGGTTTTTGTTAAACATTCTGTGACTTTTATGGAGAGAACCACCATCCCAAGTAGTAAAACTGCATTTAAACTGTGTGTGTGTGTGTGTGTGTGTGTGTGTGTGTGTGTGTGTGTGTGTGTAATAAGGATTCAGAACTAGGATCCATAAATAAGAGCACATGTATTTGTCTTTCTAAGTCTGGGTTACCTCACTCAATGTGATCTTTTTTAGCTCTGTCCATTTTCCTGAAAAGTTCATGATTGCATTTTTCTTTGCTGCTGAGCAGTTTTCCATAGTGTTTCTAAAGCCCCCCCCCTTTTTTTTACTTGGGTGGTTTGTTTTCCTGACTTTTGTTTTTTCTGAGTTCTTTCTACATTCTGGATACTAATCTCTCAGATTTATAACTGACAAGACCTGTCCCACACTGTGGGTTTCTTCCTCCAGTTGATTGTGTCCTTAGCTGTAAAGAGACTTTTCAGTTTATGAGGTTCCGCTTGTTAGTTGTTGGCCTAAATTCCTGAGCTGAGGGGTCCTCTCCAGAAAGTCCTTTTCTCCTCTGTCTTGTAGGCGCTGCCTTTGTTTTCTTCTAGCAGTCCTAGCATTGGTCTTATTTGTATTCCCGGTGGCAGCTGAAGCCAAGTCTTGTGAGCATGTTGTCTTCAGGTAAAATAAAGGAGCCTGCAGTTACCCTAAGCTTCCAAGTGTCGTGCTGGCCTTCTGGCTTAGCTAGTATTGAAGTTTTCCTCTTTAACTGAGCATAGTGGTGCATACCTTTAGTCCCCGCACTCCAGAGGCAGAGAGAGGCAGGTGGATCTGAGTTCCAGGACAGCCAGGACTATATTCAAAACAAAACAAAACCCTGTCTCAAAAACAAAACCAAGTTTTTCTTACTAATATGTATTTGTTTCAGAAAACGTTACATTTTTATTTATTTATTTATTTATTTTTTTTTTTTTAGAGAAATGGCTACCACTTTTGCTAGACTGTGCCAACAAGTTGATGTTACTCAAAAACATTTGGAAGAAGAAATTGCTAAATTATCCAAAGAAATAGATCAGCTGGAGAAAATACAAAACAACTCAAAGCTCTTACGGTAAACTTTTCCCCTCTTAATAACATGAATATCTAATTTCATCTCACATCCAAAGTGTAATTATATGAAGTCACTAATGACTTTGTATTAGAACTTTTAAATTAACTTTCTTTGTTGCTTTAAATTAAGAGTTCATGTTTGAGGCTGGAGAGATGGCTTAGCAAGAATACTTGAGGGGCTGGAGAAATGGCTCAGCAGTTAAGAGCACTGACTGCTCTTCCAGAGGACCCGGGTTCAATTCTCAGCACCCTCATGGCAGCTCACAACTGTCTGAAAATCCAGTTCCAGGGCATCTGACACCTTCACACCTATGCACATAAAATAAAGATAAATAAGTCATAAAAATTAAAAAAAAAAAAGAATACTTGATACTTTTCCAGGGAACCCTACTTGGTTCCCAGCATCCACATGGACTTCATAAAACTGAAGACTGTATACAGGAAAGGGCACCCAGCAGCCACCTATAACTCTAGTTCCAAGAGATTCTGTGCCTTCTCCTGACGTTTTTCAGCACCAGTCAAGCAAGTGCAAGTACATACATGTAGGCCAACACACATGAAATCTTTTAGAAAGACAGTAACTGTCCCTCGTGCTCTGAAGTTTCAGTGGAAGTCAGTTGCAGCAGGAACCCATCTAAGCCAAAGGAAATGTCCTGGACTTGTACTCTCTGTTAGGCTAGGGTAGTTCTCTTTCAGAACAGAAGTTCAGTCATTTAAAATGACAGTTGGGTGTTGTGTCAGCACGGTCAAGGTCAGCCTGGGCCACTGGAGACTCAAACAAGAAAACCCAAACAAAGAAATAAAACCAAAAACATAGCTTCTGTTCTTCCTGAGGACTGAGGACACTTGCTTTGAAGAGTGAATATACAAGTGTCCTGATAAATTGGACTTGTGCTTTGTTATGATTTATGATGGATCCTTTGGGAGACAGCAGTGGAGTGTCACCGTCAGGTCTAACTCTGCGGTTGTTATTTTCACTCCCGTGCCAGCACGTCTGGGCGTGTTGTTGTGTACCACCTGAGCAACACTGCTGGTTCAGGGGTCACACAGCATATAGCTCTGCATCAAAGAACAGCTTTATGGCTAGTGTTTGCAGACTGGAGGATGGTCCTCATGACCTGAGTTTGGGGTGCGTATGTAATTAGTCAAATGAGAATGTGTCAGCACAGCACTCACCTTTGTCATTGCCTTTGCAAGGGTGCAGTCCAGGAGTGGAGTGCCTGTGAGCCCTGAGTGTGCCCAAGTGCAGTCCTCCTGGAAGTCAGTCTAGCCTAGCAGCGCATGGCAGGTTGGGATCACAACTGTACCAACTTAGGCTCAGCCATCCTGTCTAATGTCTCAGGAGTGACGCCTGAAGAAATATATTCACCAGCATACGTACATTTCACTTCTGTGACCTCAGCCACATGTGCAGAGAGAACAAAACAACTCTTTCTCTCCAAATAGAGTCCCTTCTTTGTGAGTACATGCCCTAGCATGGTATGCGAATATGCTGCGTAGATCTGTATCTGGCAGTTCAGTCAGGGCTTCCTCTCATAGACAGTTTATTACATCAAGTATAGTTGTAATGTGTTCTTTGCCAGCTTCTTTGCATGTAGCGTGTGAGTCATTCAGTACTTTACACTTTACAGTTATGACCGTGATGTAAGATGTGACTCCTTTTTAAGCTCTCTCTTAGGCTGTTTTGATACTGAAGGCCCACACCTTCTTATTATCGCTCTAGACTCTGAGGTGTTCACTGTGAGCATGGCAGGAGCCACGTGGTAACAATCATATATGAGTTTTAATAAGGATGGCCACAGCTGCTTAGAGGGCTGTTTCTTAGAACGTATTTTTCTCATTGACTGTTAGGATAATTAGCTGTATTTGTTGTCTTAACTAGAAATAAAGCCATTCAACTTGAACGTGAGCTGGAGAATTTTTCGAATCAGTTTCTGCACTCAAGCAATGAAGAATCTTAACAAAGGCTGCTGTGCTGATCGCAGTGGAGGAAGCGGACTTGGAAGAAGGGGAGAACTATTTTTATGAAATAACCTCAGTATGAATTACTACTCTGCGTACCGATGCCTTGCAGAGACTGTGGTAATGACCTGTCTTGGGGGGGCACACTTTTTGAAGTGTCGCAATAACATCATTAGCTGTAGTTTAAAGACTGAACTGTTGGGTTAAATGATGGATTCCTTTAGAATCAGTGGAACCAGCTGTGCAGCCTCTGAGGGGTCCTGCGACACTTAACCAGGGCTTTCTGTCTTTGATTCTGAATAACTGCTTCCTGGCATCCAGGAGTTAGAGATCTTTTCATCTTCCATCACTAGTTCTTGATGCCTTCTTTAATGGGAATATGGAATTTCTTTATCAGATGATTTGTTCACACCAGGGAGTGTGGGCTGCTCCTGGGTTTCGCCCTCACAGCAAGGATGTAACCATCACTACACAGTTTTATCCTCATTAAAACTCATGTGAAATCATAGGAGGGCCTGTCATTGTAGTCACGCATGCAGTATCTGGCTCTGATCTTCTGCTGTCTCTAGCAAGGAGAGGTCTTCTACCTAAACGTGAGGTGGCCGGCCAGAAGGGATGGCTGGCACGGGGCACAGGAAGTGACGTGGCGTATGGTGACGTGACTGTAACCAATGGATCCTTGGGAGGAATCTCACTGACACACTGGGCTTGTCCCCACTAGAAGCTTTGACCTTAATTACATGAATTTCTTTGGACCCCATTAAAAATTATCACTCTTGCCGGGCAATGGTGGCATCCCAGCATTTAGGAGGTAGAAACAAGTGGATCTCAGTGAGTTCGAGGCCAGGCTGGTCTACAAAGTGAGTTCCAGGACAGCCAGGACTACTATACAAAGAAACCATCTTGAAAAAACAAAACAAAAACAACCACAAAAATCACTGTGTTAGTGAAATGTTTATGGTTCAGGTATTATGTGTGCCTCTGTATTAGAGGCTGGTTGACAGTGTCTATGGAAATACTTTTAAATGGCAAGGAAGGTTGCTTCTCTGACCCGACTTATGAAAATAAAGTGCTAACGTATGAGTATTTTCTAGATGCCAGCTGTGCCATCCAGGGGACAGTGCACTCCATTGGGTTGTCCTTGAATTCACAGAGATCCACCTCCTAAGTGATGGGATTAAAGGTGCGCGCACCATAAATACATCTCTTATTTTTAAAATTCTAAAGAATGTTACAATATTTTACACCATTATTTAGACCATCGAAAAGTTTCAGAATTACTTACCCTTTAGGAAAATGGGTTTGGGGCTGCAGTATTCAAATTTAAACACACATGACTACATTTTGCTTTTACTGCTGATAAAATATCCCCCAAATGGTAACCAAGTGGGATTAGGTGAAAATTACATGAAAAACTTATCTGAAATCAAAGTCTGCTAACCTAAGTTACAAAGTTACATCGAGCACTTTAACTTTTGGCCACATAATTAGCATGCTTCAGTGTAGTTCTCTGGGTTTGATCACTGGGTTATCAACATTACTTTGAAACTTGTAAGTGCAGGTTCTCAAGCTCAACACCGTTGTAGAATCATAGCAAGTTTGGAGTCTGCAGCAAGCTTCAATAAGCCTGCAGGTGGTCTCAGTGTACTCTGAAGTCTGGGAACGAGTGTTCATAGTTCAGAATGCTTCCTGTCACTAGATAGGAGTGCAGCTCCCAGCTGATGAAGTCGTGGCTGTTGAGAAGAGTGTTTAACTGTGGAAGCCAGCTTTTCTCCCAGACTAGAGTGCACCTGTGGCTGGGCTCATGCATTACACAGAATGTAATCATGACTGTTACTGCCCAGTTACTACACACATACTTGATGATTTACTGTGTATGTTTACAGTTTTATAAACTATATGATCTTTAACTTTTTACAAAACATTTTTATAAGTATGCAAGCTTGCAAGATGAAAATAAACCTGTTTGCCGTTAGTTGATAAGTGCAGCGTTTATCCGTTAGTGACTTTTCATTTTCTGTTCCCAGTCATTCTCATGATAGTCACGATCTCACACCCAGGGTCCCGATTACTGCACCACTATCATTTAGTTCCTTTGGTCAGTCACAGGGAGAGATCCCCGGTTTGCCACTGTCAGTGGCAGTTTGAGAGGTTTTCCATGGTAGGCATGCAACTTGTAAGTACTGAGCCAGCAGGACTCCCTAAACAGGTAGAATACAAGCCTTTTTTGTTGGTGGTGTTTTCGACACAGGGTTTCTCTGTGTAGCCCTCACTGTCCTGGAACTTGATCTGTAGACCAGACTGATCTCAAACTCAGAAATCTACCTGCCTCTGCCTCCCAAATGTTGGAATTAAAGGCATGTGTCATGCCTGACTCTAATGTTTTATGTTTGCCTTGGTAACTAATTCAAACTCTTTCATTAATCTTAAAATTGTAATGAGATATAAACATTGAATAGATTTTTTTTTTTCAATTTAAAAAAAAAATGGAACTAAATTACCCCAAGTGAGCTACAGGGGAAGCATGGATGTTGTTTCTTTTGAGACAGGGTCTTACATGTAGTCCAAGCTGGCCTCAAACTTGGGATCTTCCTGTGTCTGTCTCCCAACTACTAGAATTACAGACATGCTCTTGTGCTCCACAAGGGAAGGAATGACCTATCTGTGAATGAGAAATTGGTGGCTTTAATAAACTAAAAGCCAGCTTTGGGTCAGTGACACGCCAGTCTCTCCCTTACTTCCTTTCTTATTAAAAAACAACAAAAACAGCGTTTAAACAAAGGAAGTAGAGTTAACTATGGAAGTACTGAACTTGAATTAGTTCTGGGACTTAATTTTAAAAATCTCACTAAAATTTGACTTAAAACATGGTACAATGAAAGACAGTGAAAAGCACTTTATTGATTACAGAGTATAGTACAGCTCACTACAACAGCATTTCACAAGCTAGTGTACAAATAAGGGGATCACTGTTCTATCTCAACACTGTTGGATCCTGGCACAGGTCCTCTGCTTATATGGGAAAGCTTTAGACATATGGCTGACATTCATAGTCAGCTGACTTTCTGTATTGAAAATATTTGAGGACATTTCCAAGGTGCCTTATAGAAAAATTCTCAAATCTGTTTCAAGACACATTTATGCTATCTCATGGCTTCGGTGAGACGATGCAGATGTTCGAAGAGAAGCCTCTTCAAGGAGAAAATGATAGGTTAGAGCACCGTTGTATAAAGACAGAAGGGCCTGGACAACCTACAGCTGTATTACAGAAGTCCGAGTTAACAGACTATGCTATGGAAGATTTTGTTGGATACAGTTCGTATAGTTGAAAAGTTCTTTTCCTCATAATGCTATATTATTACACCTGTTTTACAAAATCAGCCATTGGGTTTAAGAAAAAAAAAACTCTTAGAAAACTATAAACATGGAAAATATTTCCTAAATACAAGATGTTCCATCTGCCTGTGGCTAACAGTGCTGACTCAGACATCCCATGAGCACCTGTTGTGAGCAGTGAACAAGCAGTGAGCCTGCTTTGCACCTCACGTTCCACAGGATCAGTTTAAGATCATCTTGGTAAAACCAGCTCACCTGAGGACGAGCTAAGACATCATTTTAAACCACGTTTTCCACAGTGGCCAGAGAACAAACACAGTACAAGCCAGGTCTGATCTGCAGAGTCTAAAGGGATGTTCCGTATTTAAGTGATGGCAGGGTCCATCTGGGGTCTGCTTATTCAGTTTTTCTAGGCTAGTTAATAAAGAATGCGCATTATGATTCAAAATCCAAGACGTTCATACCCACTTAATTTCCCTGAATAGTTTCACTTCTAAAACAAAGTCTTAGTTTTACTCCTAAACCTAAGTCATCAGTGGGATTGGAGAGTACTTTCAACAATAGAATGGTCATTTTTATGATCTTTTTTTTTTTTAAGATAGGGTTTCTTTTTCTTTAAAGGGGGATTTATTTAAATTACGTTTGTGTGTGCAGGGGCCTGAGAAGGCCAGAAGAGGGTTTTGGGTCCCTTGAAGTTACAGGCAGTTGTTAGCCACCTGAACTGGGAACTATCCTCATGTCCTCTATGAGAAGAGCCATCTCTCCAGTCCCTGGGATAAATAAGGTTTCCATCTGACCCTGGCTGACTGGCCTCAACTCTCAGTGGTCCCTCTGTGGTCCCTCACACGCAACCCCCCAGGTGAAGGGTTACAGGGCTGCACTAGGTCATGTAACAGATTCAAGTCCCTTACATCTCAGAAACACATCATCAATCAACTTGCCAACTCTAAATTAAAATGACAGCCACTGACTAGACTTGAACTTGAAGGACCAGAGCCCAACACTCAACTGCTTTTATGAATTTGGAATTCAATACAGTATACGTGTATCACAACTAAGTCCAAGCTAGTTAAGGACCTGGAGTATTACATGGAGCACGGCTGCCAAAAATGAACTTGCTTATCTCAAGGTAGAGCTGTCCTTGCTGAACAGCACTTTGAGGCATTCACTCAACTACATGGTGGTTACAATGTTTTAGAAAAGATCATGTGCCTTTATAATACTCTCCGGGAAAAGATGCTTGTGGACTCAGCTAGAGGCCAAGGCAGAAGCCACAGCAAAATGTTAAAAATCTTGCCGGTCTCAAAGACGACTTTTGTTTGATGTTTTGCATGCTAAGCATCAACCTGCTAAGGCACATTATATAGGCTAATCTCGGGAAGTCTCAGGCAAGCCAGTGTATTTAGCCACAACAAACTGCAGAGAAACCCTAAAGGTACCCACCAGTAGAAAGCAGCTTGACTAAGGTCACTACTGTGCCAAACCCTGGCACTGTGTGCAGTGAGCCATATGTTCATCATGGTTACTCTCCAGCTACACTGTAAGGGAAATCTTTAAATTCTGTTCTACACAAGCTTTTAATAACATGAAAACACACCCCCTTTTTAACATAGATTTATGTGTACAAATGTTTTGCCTTGTGTCCAAGGGAGTCATATTCCCTGAGACTGGAGTTACAGGTGGTTGTGAGCTGCCACATGGTTGCTGGGAATTGAACCCAGGTTCTCTGCAAGAGTAACAAAGTGCTTTTATCTGCTTAGCCAACTCTCCTGCCCTGAATTCCATTTTAAAATATTTAGGGCCATAGAATTCTTCTGTATGACTTTTGACTGACACACAGCTGAGGACTGAACCCAGGGCCCTGCGTTTCAAGCACTTTACCATGGATTAAATCCTTTAGCCCCGTTTTAAAATACATATTAGAAGTGCTGTTTTGAACAGAGTTTTGGATGAGTTCTGAGTTACACAGCAGTCTTGGAAACACACCCTTGTGGGGAAATGATTGTGATCCTCTAATGTGCTTCAACTCTGGCTTGGGTGGGGCAGGCTGCAGGTGCAGCTCAGAGGTAGAGCGCCTTCTGGGCAGCACATACAAGGAGGGCTAGATTCCAGCCCAGCACTGTCTTTTTTTTTTATTCTTTCCTTTTAAGTAAATTGTGCCCTATTTCAGAGAGCTATGCTTCGTAAAGTAACCTCACCCGGATTAGCTAGCCCTGTCTCCTTGGTCCTGCTGCATACCGTAAAAGCTGCCTCCTTGTTCATCTGTATGCAGCAGCACCAACTCTGGGCTGTTCCATGTAACAAACTCACTTCCTGGGGGCTGCAGTTTCTTCCACAGCCCCAACTCTCCTGTGTCTGTCGGCTCTTCATTCCTGTTCTGCCCCAGTCAGGTCCAACCCTGGAGCTGTGTGGGAGGAGGCTCTGTCCACTGTAGTACGTGAAGCGCAACTGACCTTAATAAAGCTGATGCTGATTTCATCACAGCAGACACATACATGGGCACAGTCACAGTATAAGGATGAAAACTCCAGAGTTTGGAAGTGTTAAAGTTAGTTACAGGTGATCAACTTTAACAAACTATTAAATAGCAACATACGTGTTACTGAGTTTCAAACAATGTTTTGTATACATCCAGGTAACCCATGAAGGCAGCACCCAGCAAGAGGTAACAGTCTGCTATTGTCAGTCATTTAAATTTGTAGGAGAAAACAAGAGGAGAGGCAGGACAGCCCAGTGACAGACAGAGCAATTGGACAGCCTGCTGTGAGCGGACCCTCTGAAACAAATGCTTTAGGCTCTAGGGGCCAGCTCTGGACACTCAACTGCAAGCTGCATAGGAACAGGTATGTCGTGGTCTGGAGGAGCCAGGGGTGCAGAGCAAGCCTGGTGGGCACAAGGCCCTAGATTCCTTCTGCAGCACCACCAAAATAGAAGAGCAGAAGGTCAAGGGTGCAGATAATTTATACCAGTTCAGATCTTACACAGAGTTCATAAAGCCATCTTATGTATGTTAGTGCCAGTTAGTGGATGAGTTTACATTTCTCAAAAATGTTAAAGGTGAGCCACTGTTTCCTACCCATCACAGAGAATACTGAGAGGAGTCTTCAGAAGCAGGGGCAAGTCAGGTTTTGTCAAACTTCTGAAATACTAGTACATTCTACAAACTTGGTTTCAGAATGTGAAATTAACAGCAAGATCTAAAGGTTCAAAGGGCTCAGCCTTTTAGAATACCAAAAATTAAAATACATGCCAATGTCTACTGGTTATAATATAATAAATTGTAATGACATTTCAGTGTCCCCCCTGGCCTTCACATCATCTGTCCCCTCAAATGACTCAAAAGGAGCACTTAGATCCCTAGCATGGCAATGCATGAACAGCCACTGGCTTCTGCAGAGCCACCTCATCTATCAACCCTCCTAATCAGGAGGCCATCGTGACTCAAATGCGATGTCAGAGCCCAAGGGGACTCCTTCAGACAGCACATATATCTACAACATCACATCTGCCTATTACGGGTCCTGGCTCTCCCATGACAATACTTTAAAAATGTGATGGTTCTCATATATACAGAGTTCAAGGGGAGTCCCTAACAAAATGCAAACACAACAGTCACCTGCTACAGAATGTGCATTCTAATCTACAGAAAAAGGACTAGCACAAGCAGGAATCTGTTGGGCTTAAAGTCAACACAACTGCTCAATACCCAGGCCCTTCGCCTGCAGCATGGGACCTTAGTCTTGATTGTCTCTGACCACCATTTGGCTGTACTTTATTCAAAGACGCTTTCTTTCATACGTAGTCATCTCAATAGAAACCCTCATCTGCAAACAGAAGGTAGAGTTTCTTCTCACAGCTGTGGGCTGTAGCGTGGATCTCCAGATAGCCATTGGGGAGCAGAACTTAGGACACTGTTAATTCCAGATCCTAAGAAAACTGTCCCAGGAGCCGGTGGCCACAGCCATGCCATCATCAGTCACACCTAAGCAGCTGACACGGTTGTCATGACCAGCAAGGACACCTACAAAGAAAGGTCAATACAGAGTTAAAACCGGAGTTTCAGAACTGCAAAAGTTACAATGCAGATGGTGATTAGAAAACGAACAGGCATCCTGAGGACACAGCCATCAGGGCAAGTCAGGCACAGTACAACACACCATGGGTTATGTGAATTTTTTTTTAAAAAACGAAAACATCAATTTGTGCTTCCGATTTTTGAAAAGTCATTATCTTAAAAAAAAAAGGGAAAAAAAATTGAGAAGAGTGTCTTGTAGACACTTGCTTGTATTTCCAGTTCAAAAGGTGACTCACCTCCTACTTTTTAAAATGAACCCTGTTATTTACAACATTTAGGAGCCTTAAACCATAGTTAGGAGCAACAAGAGGCTGAATAGTTTTCCAAGGCAATAAACTGTCAACCATTTAAGAAAATTGAGAAGAGGGTTCTCATGTAGTCCAGACTGAACCTGAATTTGCGACCCAGCCAAAGATAATCTTAAGACCCCAATCCTTCTCCATCTACCTTCCAAGTGCTGGGATAACAAGCGTGTGTCATATAGTACCTGGGAGTTTTGTAATTTTTCTGCCTAGGAAAATATGTAAAAACAAATTCCACATCTCCAGTAAGTTCATGATATTCCAGTTCTGCTACTGAACTGTGCTGCTTTCAATAAAAACACATTTTTAAGTGGAAGTTCTATACAGTGTGCTTTCCCAACAAGAACAAGACAGTTGCCTTCCATCCTATCTCCAAAATAGACCCAAACCACCCCTTTCGTTCTTTCTGTTCATCACCACACACAAACTGCAGTGACCTGAGACTCACCCATCCTTATTTTTTACTGCACAGGACAAAATAAACAGTTCTCAAGATTTGAGTGAAAATGCAAACATTCAAATGAAGATGAAAATATCCTTTCCTTATCTCGTGTCAGGGAATGCGTGAACAGTGGCTGGCTCCCTCAGAGCCGCCTCACCTGTCAGCACTCCTAATCACGGAGCCGTCAGGGACTCCGAGGTTCAAATGCAATGTCAGAGCCACCATCTCTCTTTAAACATATTTCCATTCTCAGAAGTGTATCCTGTTTAAGTATTCCCTGTAGCGTTTCCAGTCTGGCGGTGTATGGATGGCAACTTTACCATCATGGTGTTGGAATGCCATGTAAGAAGAAAGCACAGAGGTGGCCTCTCCAGTCACCTGGAAAGGACAGGGAAGAGAAGGGCTCCCAAGTCTGGATTTGGCCTTAAAGTGAGACACTGTACTAAGCCAGCCATGAAGACAGCTATCAGCAAAGCAAACTGGGAACTCAAGCATGTCAGAAATGAGTTGATGGATACTAGCAGATTGAGGTAACAGCCAAATACAGAATTCCTTATTTATGGAGTTGCTGGCATTGGGCAACATGTTGTTTACAAAAATCTACTTGCAAGGTACCAACTCTGAACTCTGTGATTTGTTAGCTGACTTCAGAAGATAATTCCTGTGAGAGCTGAGAGCCTCTATGTCCAACAACTCTGGGGGCTCTAAAGGTGGGGATTGAGCGAAAGAGGCAAAGACAGCAACAGGGCTGTAAGCTACAAGGTCCACAGTGGTAGAGATGGGGATCCCTGGGACTAAGTGGGGGCAAGTGTGTCAAAACAGAACTGCATTAACAAGTGAACAGTAAAGGGTGACACCTTCCCATTTGCACTTCTATGATGTCAGTCACATGACAAATGCCAGCGTAAGACTAGGGAATCAGCCATTAACCTATCTCCTGACTAGGAGAAAGAAACGGTTGGTTGGTGGGAATGGAGATTAGAATTGACTTGTTAAACTGTAATCCCAGCTTTCCTCTTGAGTCAGTCAGACAGTGGTGGGGAGCACAGGGGAGAGTTTCAGAGGACAGGGATGTGTGGAAAAAGAAAATTGGCAGTAACACAGGCATGCTATTTCAAGCTTTTTTTCTGAGATGAAGGTCTTGATGTGTAGCCCAGGCTGACCTCAGACTTGTGATTCTCCTATGTGTCTCCTGAGTGTTAGGATTACAGGTGTACACCACTGCACCCTACCAGTCTATCTTGGGGTGCAGAAAATATGTTTGTTGTGTTATAGTAACAAAGTACACACACCCATGTGTGTATACGGAGTATGCATACATATATACATACACACACACACACACACACACACACACCATACATTTGTTTGTTTGGTTTTCCAAGACAGGGTTTCTCTGTGTAACAGTCCTAGCTGTCCTGGAACTTGTTCTTGTAGACCAGACCAACCTTGAACTTACAAAGATCCACCTGCATCTGCCTCCCGAGTGCTGGGATTAAAGGCATGCACCACCACCGCCCAGCTTCTGGAGTATAATTTTAACATTACATTACAAATGTAAATGTTTAACAGTTAAATTACAAATTCCTCCATTTAATCCCAGTTCCAATATGGTTGCTATGTTGGTTTTTAATGGGAGGGTTCCTGTTGAGGCCTGGAAGACAATCTGCCTATATCCTCAGGGTCAGTCTCAAGAGCATGAGCCACTGCAGAAACCATGCTTCCTGTCAGGTTAGAGAGCAATGGTTTAGCCCCAAGTGACAGCTTAGCAGGGTATGATGACGGTATTCACCAGCAATTCCAGCATTTGGAAGGCTGAGGGAGGGTAACATTGAGCTCAAGGCCAGCCTGGGCTTTATAGTGACTTCCAAGCATAAGGATTTGTCTCAGAATAATAAATAAGCAAACCAACCAGGATGTAAGAAAAAGAAAACTATCAGAAAGAAAAAAAAAAAAGGCTGGAAAGATGGCTCAGAGGTTAAGAGCACTTACTGCTCTTCCAGAGGTCCTGAGTTCAATTCCCAGCAACCACATGGTGGCTCGCAACCATCCAAAATGAGATCTGGTGCCCTCTTCTGGTGTGCAGGCATATATGGAATGTTGTACACATAACAAATAAATAAATAAATAAATCTTTAAAAGAAAAAGAAAACTGATTTGTGCAAGAAGGCACCAATTTATATTTACTGCTCCTCACCCCTAATTTACCATTCTAGGACCTAATGTCATTCTTCAGTAGGATAAATGTTCCTCCAGCTACCATCAAAGGTAATAAAGATACGAAGGAAAGCCGCCCAGCTGCTGCTCTGACAGCTCCCGGATGCCCAGCAAGCCTCAGTGTCTGTGGGAGCCTTTTCAGGCTTCCTGAAACAGAACCTGCCTTGGCTACATCACTGACCTGCCCGGCCTCCTTTCAGCGCGTCCCACACGCTGCAGTTGAAGTCATCATAGCCGGCTAGCAGAAGGCGCCCGCTCTTGGAGAAAGCCACAGATGTGATCCCACAGATGATGTTGTCATGAGAATACAGCAGTAGCTCTTGGTCTGCACGGAGGTCAAAGAGCCGGCAGGTGGCATCATCGGAGCCTGTGGCAAAGGCATAGCCACTTGGGAAGAACTAAAAAGGAAAAAAAAAAAAAAAAAAAAAAAAAAAAACAACGTAAAAACAATGGAGGCAGAGAGGCTGGTGTTGGAGGTGTGAGTGAGATTGGTCTACACCATAATAGATGCATTCGGAGACCATGGAGACAGACAACTGGGGACAGGAGGTAGGGCAGGCTTAGAGTCTAATTTTGCTTCTTTCCGTTTCAGTGACTGCTGAGAAGTTTCTTTTTATGTGAGCCAGTAACCCACCATGTAGCACAGGCTGACCCAGAACGCACAATACTCCTGCTCCATCCTCCTAAGTGCTAGGGCTACAAAGGTGTGAGCCACCACACCTGGCCTAATACATATGTATTTTTTAATATTCTGGGCTTTTGTTTTAGTTGACGATTTAGGCTAAATAGCACATGCAAAGTGCATGAGCCATTGCTCAGCACACAGTATTAATAACGCCGCCTGTGGTCCTTCGCCTGTCTGATCCAGACGTACTGGGTGCCTGTCATTTAGGAGTCAGGAACAGTGTGCTGCACCAGGACAGCGGGCACAGACTGCATGTTCACACTAGGGTCAGCATCAGCGCAGTGACCTCCCAGGACCAGGGGCCACCAGGATGCCTAAGAGGAGGCTCCTGCACGCGAGTCAGAGTCAGAACAAACCAAAACTCCCCATGCCGATCGTAAGTCAAGTATTACTATTTACAGGATGTCTGTTTAAATATTTCAGAATTCTACTATGAGAAATAAATTGGAAAGGTTTTAGAACATACAGAACACTGCGACTGGGGGATGGCTCGGGAGATAAAGCACTCGTGTGCCTGTGAAGACTACACTGGGGTTGCTAATGAATGCCACCCTCGTGCCATGCTATGGAGCCCAGCTCCCAGGTAAATGCTGGCCTAGTGTGGAGGTATGCCCAGTACCCTCAGTAAATGCTGGCCGAGTGTGGAGGCCTGCCTGTACCTCAGCATTTGGGTGGCAGAGAAGGGGTCCCCTAAGCAAGCTAACTAGCTGGACTAGTATAGGTCAACTGGTTCAACTGGTTCAGACCCTGCCTCTGAATAAGGTGAAGAGGGCACCCAACATCAGCCTCTGGTCTACACAACACCTGCACAGACAGAAAACAGACAACTCCGCCCTCCACTGGCGATGGAGGGGTACAGCCCCAGGCATGCCTGGCACCTGAGTAGCGTTTCATGCTGCAGCCCTGGTCAGTGTGCTTTTCCACATGTGCCTAGTCAAAGCACTTCCAGCTTCTGGGAACTGCTTTCTCATGACGGCTTTGTTTTCTGAAGTTGAGCTACCGACACTGATTTCTTACTGTGTAGAAACAAAATGTCTGTACATTGGTTTTATTTGCTCAAATGTGACTCCGCAGCGTGTTAAGGCTTCACAGAGTCAGGTCTGCTTAGGCTTCACTTATATTTCTTTGATTGTGTTTTTGAGACAGGATTTCCTATATCCCAGGCTGACCTTAAATCATGGAGTAGCTGAGGATGCCCTTGAACTTCTGATCCTCCTGCTTCGACCTCCTGAGTGCTGAGATTCTAGGCATGAGCCACCACACCCCGCTTTCTTTCATTCCTTACGGGTTTGTACGGGAGCGCACAGGGTGACACGCACAGGATGACGCCAGAAGTCGTCAGGTGTTTTAGGTCATTCTCTAGTTCCTCTTTTGGTCGCAGAGACGGTTCTCTCCCGTCTCTGCTCCCCAGTGCTGGGATCGACAACAGGCGGTCCCCGCAGGCCAGCCTTTTCACCTGAGTTCTGTGGACCAGCCAGTCCTCATATGCGCACAGTGAATACCAGCTGAGCATCTCCCCAGCTTCCTTCATTACTCCTAATGAACAGTGCATAATTGTTTTTAGTTCTTTTAATTTCATATATTAATCTTATCAATCTGGAGTCTATTTAATAAAGAGCCTTTAGTAAAGTAGTGCTCGAACTTAACTTTCTTCATTCTTAAGCAGTTGTCCAGCTGTTAATTAGTTTTTCTATTGATCTTCTGCTATATCATCCACTAAATTCCTGGCAACAACGTTGTGTTCTTTTCCTGTGTAGGGGATCAGCCTGGGCCTCACATACGCTGAGCAAGTGCTCAACTACTGAACTACACTACTAGGTTTTAAAATAATATTAACATTTAATAACTAATAATTTAGTATTATAACCTACCCTTAGGTTTTCAAATAAATAAGTTATTTGAGGGATATAATTGCTTCAGTTAAATGTATTTCTGATTACTAAATACAGATATGTTGTAATTATGTTCTCAGATCTGACTATAGAGTTGGAAGTGTGAGAAGGACTTATATAGTGGGGCAGTGTTATTTCCAGCTGTTAGTAAGCACAGGGAGACATTCCCCGACTGTTTCGCTAGGAGTCCCACGGGCAGAGTTCTGCTGGGCAGCAGCTCGACAAGGTTCACAGGTTCCTGGAAATGGCGGCGACTGCTCTGGGTGAACACGGTTTCATCATTCCAAACAGGAAATGCTCTACTCATAGATTCCCGGAGGACTGCAGGACCCGGGACCATTAAAGTCTTCCTTCCTCCCACCATGCACCTCGTGGTTTGGTTCCTTGATGTTCAAAGCCTTCCCTAGCCTCCTCCCTCTGCTGGTGTTGCTGGCCGCTTCCTTCTGTATCCTCATCTCTCCCGGCCACGCTTGGCTTTTGTTTTGTTTTCCTTGCTGCTGCTGTTTGTTTGGCTTTTGGTTTCTGAGACAGGGTTTCTCTGTCTAGCACTGGCTGTCCCAGAACTCACTCTGTAGCCCAGGCTGGCCTCAAATCTGCAGCAAGTCTCCTGTGCTGGGACCATGGCATGGTCTTTGTCCTAAGGCCTAGCCTATTTATACAATATTTTTCTCCCAACTATGTCATTTCCAAAGCGGCCTCAGTGTTTACTAACAACTCAACAAAGATGGCACTTAGTGCCTCATCCCACAAACAGTGCAAACAGCATCAGTCTCTGTAAACTCATTGTTGTAGGGTTGGGAGACAGCGCCTGCTCGGCGTGCCTGAGCACATGAGGACGTGGAGCTTGAGTCCCCAGCTCCTATGTGACAAGTTGGGAGTGGCTGAGTGTGTCCTTAACCCCAGCACTGTGGGCGTGGCTGAGTGTCCTTAACCC